TATGTAAAGGTACAATTCCCAATGAGAAATGTAATTGTGTTGTATACCTACAATGTACCAATAAAAGAATTTAATTAAAAAAAAAAAGAAAAGAAAAGCTTTTTCACAGCAAAGGAAACAACTGAGTGAAGAGACAACCTACAGAATGAGAACATATTTTTTGCTAGCTATTCCTCAGACACAGGACTAATATTGAGACTATACAAAGAATGCAAAAAAAAAAAAAGAGAGAGAGACCCCTCCAAAATAAAAGGCCCAATCAAAAGATGGGCAACTGAATTGAATAGACATTTCTCAGAAAAGAAGTACAATTGGCTAATAAATGCATGAAAAAATGTTCAACATTGCTGGCCATCAGAGGGATCCCAATTAAAACAACACTGTGATTCTGTCTCACTCCAGAAAGAGTGACCATCATCAAGAAATCAAATAATAACAAATGCTGGCAAGACTGCAGGGAAAAAGGAACCCTTCTACACTGTTGGTGGAAATGTAAGCTGGTGCAACCACTATGAAAATAAGTATAGAAATTCCTTAAAAAATTAAAACTAGAAATTCCATTTGAGGGGCGGGGGATTTAGCTCAGTGGTTCCGCCGCTTGCCTCGCAAGTCCAGGGACCTGAGTTCGATCCCTAGTGTAAAATAAATAAATAAATAAAATAAAAATTCCATTTGACCCAGAGCTTCCCTTTCTAGGTATTTTCCCCAAAGAGTTAGACATCATATTACAGTGATACATGAAAATCTATGTTTATAGTAGCACAATTCGTAATAGCTAAATTTTGGAAATGCTTATATGTCCATCGACACATGAATGAATAAAGTGTGGTATTTTTATATGTGGAGCACTACCCTGCCATAAGGAAGGATAAACTTGAGTCATTTGTAGGAAAATGGATGCACCTTGAAACTGTAATATTAAATGAAATAAACCAGACACATAAGTTTAAATACTGCATGGTTTCTCTTATATGAGAAACCCAAAATATAAATGAAGAGCAAAATAAAAGATAGATAATAGGAAGTACGGAGATAGAATTTTGTTCAAATGGGAAGGAGATCAAGTGATGGAGGGAGGGGAAAGGGAGAAGACAGAAAAGGTATAAAAACATTAAGATGTGTTATGTACATGTACCAACTGCACACAAGGAATGAAATCATTATGCAATGCAAACATGTACTAATAAAAAATAAAAACAGAGAAAACCCAAATAAGTAAACAAAAGTTCTGGGTTCAGTCCCTACTATCACCAAAACAAACAAAGGAAAGCTATAATTAGGTCTTTGAGAGGCAGGGATTAACGCTCAGTTCTCATAAGGACCTGGATTAGTTACCTAGGCAGCAGTTTGTTAGAAGGCCAGTTCGGTTTCCTCCACTCCCTCCCCTCTCTGGTGCACAACTTCTTAGTCTTCTCCTTCTGTCCACGCAGTTATGACAGCATGAGGCACTCATCATGCCTACCTAGTCTGGGGCTTTCCAGCCCTTCTCAACCACGAGCCAAAAGAAACTTTTCTTTATAAACTTCCCATGCCAGGTATTCTGTTACAGCAAAAGAAAATGTACTAAAATACAGGGGGAACCTCTTCTGACAGCAAGGAGAGGCTCAGCAAGCTCCTAGCAACCTGCTTAGGGGATGGTCAGTCCCCACCTCTGAGCTTCTGCCCTCTTTGACCATGGCCACTTTGCCTCACCCTAGCCTTGAAGATAAGGACGACTTTGGGCAGAAGAAAGTTCTATGCTAATATCTTATGGTAATGCTAAGTAATATAAAGAGTAGTAATACAAAGTAATACAAGGCTGTTGTAGAAAGTATAAGTAATATATGCAGGCAAAATATACACATTAAAAAACACCTATAACCCCACTGTCCAGAGAGAACCAATGGGATC